AAATTACAATACCAATTACATAAAAACATTATGGTTAAGAAGTAAAATGTATGTAAAATGATTAAAAATTAATTGTAAAATTATTTAAATACACACTAAAAACCTTAGTGCCCACAAATGCCATTTTTTTGCATTCTTTTTGAATGAAGAGATTGAAAAAGAGTCTCTGATGGTTTCTGGCGCTGTGTTCCATCGCTGAGATGCTCTTACGGAGAAAACCGCCCGACCAAAGGCTGTTTTTCTTCGGGGGATGATGCCGTCTTCCCTCACTCCCCTCTGGTTACCCTGACCTCACTGGATCTGAACTCTACAAAGTCACATAGTGGAGGTGGTGCTAAACCATGTCTGATTTTATAAATTAAACAGATATTTTTGAATTTGATAAGATTGTTCCAGGGGAGTAACTGATATTTCCTCAGAGTACTACAATGGTGGTAACGGTATGGTTTGTTATCCAGTATTTTTAATGCTTGTTTATATAATGTTTCTAATGGTTTTATTGTGTTATATAGGATAAAATCATGGGAAAAAAAATGATTTAGCAGCTTCAGTTGAAAGAAAATCTCTAATGAATCTGAAGTTTGCTAAACTAAACTTAATCCTATTACATGTGGACCTTAGAAAGATAAACAATAAAATACTGTAAAGTGTTTTAAAAATATAAAACTGGAGAATAAATAACCAATATGCAGCTATGGACATTTTTACAGTGATGGATATTTAAAAATAGCATAAACATTTAACTGACTAAGGTTTCTATCGTTACATTTGATTTGATTAGTTCCTGCTCCCGCTGGTTGGAACCTTTATTCCACTCTGGATTCTTGTTAATGTAGTCTTTATTCACTTTATAATAAAAAGAAAGAAACAAACAGTTTTGAAAACTTCTGTATTCATTCTTTTCCTGCTTTGTGTGTCAACTGTCACGGTTGCTAAGCAACAACGCCGAAGGGTAGACCTGTTTGGATTTGGAGCCAAAACTCCTCCGGTCTCGGACTTCCAAGGATCCAGTCCAGGTAGACCGGGTCCTTGGAGGACGCGGCCCAGGAATTCGAACGCAGCCGTTTCCATCTGCTGGTCATGTGGTCTGGTAAAGATATAAAAAACAAAAAAACCTGAAACGAAACTTTGAAAAACCCATTAATCACAAAAAGGCTTTGAAAATAACTTTACAGGTTTGTCTGATTTTATATATTTAAAAAATAACGAAATGAAAATCAGCTATATATATTTTTCCATCTTATTCTTCCAAAGATCTAATATATATATTATATATATATAAATCTTTTTAAATGTTCTCTTCTTTCAGATTGACTAGTATGCATTGCATTGTCTTCAAACTATGTTTCAAAGATCACATTCTCTTCATTTTAAACCGCTCACTGAAGACCAATAGAAATGCGTGAGGAGAATATTATCCGCGAAACGCAACTTGAAAAAAATCCAACGGGATCAAGTCAGTCTGAAAAAAAGATACCAGGAAATAATTTGTAAAAAAAAAAAAAATAAAAATAAAAAATATGAAAAAGTTAAATCTGAAAATAAAGAAGTGGAAAAATATGAGAAAACAAAAGTTATTAACAAAAAGAAAAAATAAATAATTAAAAACAACTAACTGGACTTTGTTTCCAAGTTTCCAGGAAGCTTTTCAATTCAAACTGTCAGCACTGCAAAAACGATCTACTAATAAGTAGAAATATCTTAAATTAAGTGCATTTACCCTTATTTTGAGTCGGTAAATGAGATAGTTTGCAAATGGAATTGCTATTTTTACTCTTAAAGTAAGATAATTAGATAAAATGCACTTGAAATAAGACAATGGATTTATGTTTTCTTATTTTAAAATGAATTGTCTCATTCCATTGGCAAAATGCCACTTTTACTTCCTCAATCCAAGAACAAATGCACTTATTTTAAGAAAAAAGACTTATCTAGATTTCCATTTTTTTCAGTGAGGAATAGCTTTAAGTTCAAGCTTTTATAAAGTAGCCAAACAAAGCCTTGTTTTACTATTAAAACCTTTTTTTTTGGATCAAGAAGAAATTTCTGTATTGGAACTTTTTATATTTTTAATTTCAAATATCAAGGCACGCAATGCGTCCTTTGCTTGCAACAATAATGGAGCAAAATTCCCCCCATATTTCCCAGCCTCTTTGAACGCAGCATGATTCTTTCGGTGACTCTAATCAGACACCAACTTCAGCTCCGCCTGTCTGGAGTTTCGGCTTGTTCCGCCTCTCCGTCAAACCGACAAACATTCGGCAGTTTTCGTTCAAGCGGAGAGAGCAGGAAGACTGATTTATGTTTGACGCGTCACGGGAGGAGAAAACCTCCACGGTTGGATCATCTACGGCGGCCGAGTAGGGTGGGAAAAAAAAAAAAAAGAGGCGTTTTGGAGAACAGGTGGTTGGAGCCGCGGTGTCCCACCGAGCAGAAAGGAAAAGCTCTCCTCCCTCCCAGCTCCTCCACGGCCACGGCTCCAGTTCCCGGGGGGAACATTAGCGCTTGCTCCGCACAGGTAAGACCGCTGGCCCCCACTGGGTCCCTCTGGCTCCGCAGCAACAGCTGTTCTCCGCTGGCTGCTCTCAGTCTGGGGCCGCTGATGATGGAGATCCTCCGGGTTCGGTTCTGAGGGCCTCCTGCTCCCTCGCTCCCCCCCACCGGGTCATTAGGACAGAACACAAACCAGCCATTGATTAGGGCCCCTCATTAGTATCCCAATCAGGCCCATCTCAGCCTCCTGCAGGGGCGGTTCTAGTCAGGGGCCAATGGGGCCCCTGTAGACATTAGGCTACATTCACACCAAAAGCAGCAGAAGCAGCAGAAACCCCCATTCTGCTTCATTTTTGATTGTTTAGTTTAGTTCTGACGCAGAAGAAGGTAGAAAAGTGGGTCTGATGCGCTTTGGGCGGAGCTACCATCTATTAT